TGGAGGGGTCACACCCTGCAACCCACGCCATTCAGCATGGTGGAGGGGTCACACCCTGCAACCCACGCCATTCAGCATGACGGAGGGGTCACACCCCGCAACCCACGCCATTCAGCATGACGGAGGGGTCACACTCTGCTTATTTGGTCTTCCCCAGGCTCGTGCAAGCACTTCAGTCAGCCAAATGCAGCAAAAACTTGTGCAATTTGTAAATAAAGTCACATCTGGGAGAGCAATTTAATACCGCAGAGTAAGAATGGCAAAGAAATTCACATCCTGTAAGCCGACACGTCTACTCTGGGAATTCATCTTAAGTAAAGAACTGAGCACAAGCAAACAGCTCCATGCGCAGAGACCATCATCACAGCATCGTTTGTTGTTCCAAACACCAAACTGAACCGGAAGCCATCTGAGGGTCCCTACATGGGAAGCAATTTACACCCCCCCCGCCGTGATGTGTCAGTGTGGTGGATTATTGTGCCATCATGAAGGTAATTATGGGTATTATCTGAAGTGAGAGGATTTCAGGGAAATAGGAGAAGCAAAAATGCTATGTGCAGTGTGTTCTGAAAGAGAATGCCAACCCCTCCCCCACCTTGCTACGAGGGAGAAAGAATCTGTTGGGTGGATTAAAAAAGAGTGGTTGATTGTGGCCTTCTAGAAAAGTCTATGAATGCATGCTGGTTCCAATTCAATCTATTTATCGTTCACTGCATTGTCAGTGAAAAAAAGATTATAAAACAGCATTTTTTAGTTGTTTTTCAAAATTAGTTAATCTATATCCAGAAAAACATCTGCAGGATTGTGTCCAGACTTAAATTGTGGCCATCGCTGACCACCTCCTCACCCCTAGCAGTACAGTCTGGAAGTTTTACAAGAAGCCTACACTATTTTCCAACTTAGAATAATAAATCTGTCTCCTTTTCAAAAAAAGAGGCTTCAGCATTGTTTTCTTGGCCTGCTGCTCTCCCTTCCCTCGTGAAACTACTACACAAAGAAAGCCCTTTGCTGTCCCTCCCGGGACTCCAGAGTGCTACAACAGTTTGAAGGGTAGAGGAGAATTCTAACTCAGATTTGGCAAAATAACAACAAAGTCAGCCAATAAAATGCACCAATCAGACAATTTCCATTGTCCTCCTGTAAACGACAAACCCCATTTAAACATTTCTCAGCAGTGACGGACATCGTGCAGCTAAGGAAACAGAACCGAGGCTGTGATGATTATCTCTCCTCTGCCTCCAGCCTCTCCTGTGTAAACACCCGCCACACATGTTGCCTCTGCCCTCTGCCTCCCTTGGAGGGCTGTGGGAGTCTTCACCCAGCAAGGAGGGTTGACTGCTGGAATCTAGCGGTTTCCCGGCAAATCCCAGAGCTGGGAGCAGAGACAGGTGTGCGGGGGCCTGCTGACCCTCCTGGCCTGCAGCCCCTGTCTTGCGCCCTGTTGCCACGGGAACAAGCATCCTCAGCCCACAGAGCAGCTGGCACGGAGCCTGTGTTGTCGTTCTGTGTGGAGCTTATTTTAGCTTTCACTTTCTGGGGTCCCCTCCTCCCCTCTCTGGGAGCTCAGTCCAGTGGTCAAGGCGGTTTGTGTGGATGAAAGCAGAGATTCCAGAGCTCTGGGGCTCTTATTTGCCACCCCATGTTCTTGCAGCCCTGCCAGCCTGTGAGACAGGGTACCTCCGACACTCTGAGTCCTGCCCTGCCCTAACCATGGGCCAGCAGCTGGGCCTCTCTGCTCAGGATAGGGCCGCCTGCCTGGGGTGTTGCTGGCTCAAGCATGTGGTGCTGGTGGGTGCTGGTCCCTCCAGAACCTGGGCTCCGAGGCCCAGTGCAGGGTGTGCCCCTGTGTGGGCCAAGGCAGGCTGTGTTTCAGGCTCACATTAGCTATGTGGCATAGGGCTGGGCTGGACCCCACTGAAGCCCGTTGCTAGGCTGACATCTCGGGGGTATGACTTTCCTCCCCACAGTGCAGATGAAGTCACATTTTAACAAGCCTAGTCCCAGGGGCTTCAGATCACGACAAGGCACTCACCCATGATTAGAACAGAACCCCACCACCCACCAAGACAGAAGGGCGATACACAGAGCTTGTCGTCTCCATTCTGAGTTTCTTCCTGTTTAAGGAAAGGGAAGGGTGTTTTGTGGGGCGGGAAGGAGGCCTGGGTGGGTGACGTTGCATTGATCAGACCACAGCACTGGAGGCAAGGCCTGCGTTTATCCCCTTCCGCTTCGACTGAAGAGTTCTGTTTATCTGTCTCTCGGGTTGCTGCCAGAGCTGTCTGCTGAGAATGTCGCCCCTGGAAGCCTGACGGGGACTGGGAAGTCTCCTTCTCTTCTCACGGGCGCTGAGAGCTCTAAAAACGTACTTCTGGGGGAAGCGTGGGTGAAAATACCGAGAGCAGCCATGCACCCCGAGCCTAAGTTCGCCCTGGATGTGCCTGGCGGGTGGCTCCCTCCCTGTGTGTCACAGCTGAATTATATTCAGTTATGTTCTCCTGAAAGTCTGATGTGGCAGTTCTAACCCGGGTGCCGTGAACATGACCTTATGTGGATAGAGCAGTTGCAGATGTGATGGATCGAGGTGCGGTCAAGGTGGCCTCCTTACTCCAGTGTGACTCGCGTCCTTATTCAGCGGGGAATGTAGACTCAGAGACAGATACCCAGGAAGCCGCTGAGTGAAGAGGAAGGCCTGAAGCACTGTTGCCAGCCGTCACCACAAGCTAAAGGGCAACTCAGAAGGACCCTCCCTGGAGGGTCAGAGGTGGCAGAGCCCTACCCACACCCTGATCTGGGACCTTGAGCCTCTAGAACGAGGGGAATAAATTTTTACTGTTCTCAGCCCCCTGGTCCATGGTACTTTGTTACATCCACCCTGGGAAAGCACTATTAGCTTCCAGAGGGTTCCAGGAGAGTTGATGAGGGTTCCTCAGACCAATCAGCCTGCTGTAAGTGCAGCAGACGCCATCAGCTGTGTTCTTTCTGAATACAGTCCCCATAAGTGCTAGGCACACAGGCTGGGGGTGAGGAGCTGCCCAGAGAGGCGGGAGGGAGCCCTGGGCAGCAGGGTGCAGCTTGAGACACATCCTCTGGGTGGTGGCTTCTCCTGCTCACTGTACAGACGACCAGCAGGTGCCCGGAGACCATTGCTCAGGGGGTCTAGTTTCGGGCTCAGTCAAGAGCCCACTGATGCTGGCCCTCTGTGCCCATAGTCCCCACCCCAGGCAACCTGCTCTTGCCTGGCTCTTGGCTGAGGGGAGCCATGCTGGGTGGCACCACCCTGGCCTCCCCTAAGCACAGTAGTACCCAGCCATGGTAGTCTGAGGCAGGATGGTCTAGAATGTGGCAGCTGGGCATAGGGACAGCCAGACAGCTGAGCCTGGCTGTGTAGAACCCAAGGCCGAGGGTGATGCTGTATCTGGGGGTGCTGTGGCTTGTCCCTGCGAGGTGGCCCCGCTGCATGGCTGCCTTGTGCAGCTCCACAGCTCATTCCTGAGGTCACTGAAGAGGGACTGTGGCTCTTATTCCTTAAAGAGCCCCCTGCCCCCTGAGGGAATGACAAAGATTAATGGCTCACTCACAATTTTCCATGGTCACAAACTCCTTGGTCATGACTTCCCCCAAATCAAACAGGATAAGAATTCTCTAACTCCAACTGAACCCACAAGGAAGCATGCATAACATGGCGCAGGCCCCGGCACAGGCTGGGGGGCTCTGCTAGGCCTTCCTCCCGGCGGCGGCCTCGTTAGTACATGAGTCCCATTAAACCCCGCCGATACCTGGCTGTGAGTTCCGCAGCGCTTACAGAAGCTTGGTGTTCTGGGGTAGGGGCCACGTCACAGCCCTGTGGCCTTGCTCAGGGTGCGGTGGTGTGAAGACACGTCAGGAGGTGCGAGCTGGCCCTGTGTGCGGTCAGTGTGCGTGCTGTGTCCGTCATCGTTGCCGCTGTCCTCGTCCTTGTCATCACCATGTGTTTCCACCCCCAATTTGACTGTGGTTCAGATACATTTCTCACGACCGTGTTTTCAGTAAAGGGTCCTGTTGGACTTTTGAGGAGGTGTAACAAAGCCCAGGGCCATTTTTCTCATCAATTGTGGCTTAGCGGCCCCAGGAAGAAAGGGAGCTGTGTCCAAAGGACGTGTGAGTTCTGTGTCCACATGGCGGGAGCCCTCACAGGATTGCGCCCCGACGGCTCAGGGGGTGCCACACAGGGAGCAGGGGCCTTGTGCACCAGGAGGCCCACCCCCAGGTGTCTTTATCCTCTTATTGCTCTTTCTTTAACATTTGTTGTCCGCTTCTCTGAGGCTGGTGTAAGTACCACGGCCCCTCGGATCTGCAGGAGGATGGCTCCCCTTTGTGTGTTGGTGCGTCCTGGCTGCCCTGAGCCGTGGACGCTCTTCCTCTGTGAGAAGCTGCTTCACTAAAATGCAGGTCCCAGGCGGAGGGGCCTCCAGACTTTAAGCGCAGTGGCCAACAGGCCCAGTACCTGTGGGCTCCCCTTCCCCCTGCGCAGGCCTTACCTGCTGCTCCGGGCTGCCAGCTCCTCCCTCATCTTCCTAATGTCACTCTTGCATTTCTCGATCTCCACCACTTTTAGTCCTTCCACTGGGGACGAAAGAGAGATGTCAGGAGGGTTACCAGGGGTAAACACGGAGGGACTCACCAGCTGGCAGCTAGGGACCCCCAATCTCTGGGTGGTTCCCTCCTGCCCCCTTCTCCCTTCCCAGCTCAGCCCTTCCTGACCCTGCTGCCCCAGGTGTGTCCTGTGGCCACATGAGAACCACTGCATCCGTCTGTGTGGTTTACAGAGGCCCCTCCCCACTCTCACTCCCCCAATCTCGCCTCTGGCACCCACTTCCAGACCCCTAAGCACCAGCTGAGGACAAACAAGTCTTTTATTCAGGAAAGAAAAGGAAAGGGTGGAAATTTGGCCCCAGTGCATTAAAATGCAGTGAGGCACAGCTTTCTCAGCAAGGATTAAGATCTCATTAAGATAAAAGCTTTCCATTTTAAGGTCCCCCTAGAGCAGTTAACCAGGAGAAACCACTGACTCAAAA